AATGCCGAGGTGGAAAAATTGTTACAGGCTGATTTCATAAGGGAAGTCACATACACGACTTGGCTAGCAAACGTAGTTCTGGTCAAAAAGTCGAACGGAAAGTGGAGAATGTGTACCGACTACATCGACCTCAATAAAGCCTGCCCCAAGGACACCTATCCACTCCCTTGCATCGACCGACTTGTCGACGGAGCGTCTGGGCATTCTGTATTCAGCTTTCTTGACGCCTATTCCGGCTACAACCAGATAAGGATGCACCCGTCTGACGAGGAGAAAACGGCGTTCATCACCGAGAACGCCAACTTTTGTTACCGAGTCATGCCATTTGGACTGAAGAACGCCGGGGCGACCTATCAGAGGTTAATGGATAAAGTGTTCCAGGAGCAAATCGGTCGAAACATCGAGATTTATGTGGACGATATGGTGGTCAAGTCCAATTCTATCGCCGAGCACATATCAAACCTAGCCAAAATCTTCGGCGCACTTCGCAAGCACAACATGAGGCTCAACCCCGAGAAGTGCACCTTCGGGGTAAAGGGAGGCAAATTCCTAGGTTTCATGCTATCAGTAAGAGGCATAGAAGCAAACCGAGACAAATGCCAGGCCGTGATAGACATGCGAAGCCCGAGCAATCTCAAGGAATTGCAACGTCTTTCAGGAAGATTAGTCGCCTTATCCCGATTCGTCCCGCGCCTAGGTGACAAGATTAGCCCAATGAAGAAACTCTTGCGGAAGGCCTCGGCCTTCTCGTGGAATGAATCATGCGAAGAGGCCTTCGAGGCGCTGAAAGCAACCTTGGCGACGCTGCTGATCCTAATAAGACCTGATCCCTCGAGCCCACTCTTACTGTACTTGGTCGTATCTTCCGAGGCGATCAGCTCGGTCCTGGTGCAAGAAAAGGAAGGCACCCAAGCTCCCATATATTTTGTCAGCTGACTCCTACAAGATTCTGAGACCCGGTACCAATTGATAGAAAAGGTTGCGCTCGGATTAGTGCACACATCACGACGCTTGCGGCACTACTTCCAAAGCCACCGGGTAGTTGTACACACTGACTGGCCGATCTCGAAGGTCCTGGGCAAGCCCGAGCTCGCCGGGAGAATGATGGCCTGGTTGGTGGAGCTCTCGCAATTCGACATAACCTTCAAACCGAGAGGACCGATCAAAGCTCAGTGCCTGGTCGATTTTGTGAACGAGCTCCACCCCTACGGTCATTTCGAGGAGCAATGGTGGACCCTCCATGTGGATGGTTCGTCAAATTGCCGAGGAAGCGGAGCAAGTGTAATTCTGGAGGGACCCAAAGGGATAGTTTTGGAACAATCCCTCCGCTTTCGGTTCAAGGCTTCCAACAACCAAGCCGAGTATGAAGCCTTACTGGCCGGACTGAGACTAGCCGAAGACATGGGAGCCTCGAGAGTCAAATGTTTGACCGACTCCAAAGTTATGGCCGAGCAGGTCGGCGACAATTTCCAAGTGAAAAACCACAACATGATGAAGTACTATCATGCCTATCAAAAGTTGAAGACGAACTTTCAGGAGGTGTCGGTCGAGCACATCCCACGCGAAGACAACACTCGAGCCGGTCAGTTGGCTAGGTTGGTCGCGACTAAAAAGTCAGGCCATTTGAGAACGATCATTCAGCAAGAGATCGACCACCCTAGTGTCGATGCAGAAGTGGTTGCAAATGTCAATGCCGACCGTGACGATCAGGACGACTCCCAAGATTGGCGAGCCGAAATCAGAGCGTTTCTCATAAATGGAACCACGCCGACCGATCCGACCGAGGCCAAACGGCTAAGAACCCAAGCCAACAGATACGTTGTCATTGCCGGCCAGTTGTACAAACGCGGTTTTTCTACCCCGTTACTCAAGTGCCTAAACTCCGTCGAGGCTGACTACGTGACGAGAGAAGTACACGAGGGTATATGCGGAATGCATTCGGGAGCGAGGACGACCGTCTCCAAACTCTTACGAGCCGGGTACTATTGGCCTACCATGATCACCGATTGCGCAACGTTCGTAAAGAGATGCCAACCAGGTCAGAGACATGGCAACTTGATTCATCAACCGGCCGAGCAGCTACATTGCATTCCTCCAGCATGGTCATTCGCCACTTGGGGGGCCGACATACTCGGACCCTTCCCAGTTGCCAAGGGACAATGCAAATTCCTCATCGTCGTCGTGGATCTATTCACCAAATGGATCGAAGCCGAGCCCCTGGCATGTATCTCGGCTCATCAAGTCCAGAAATTTCTATGGAGGAATATCATCACCCGATTCGGTGTCCCACACACCCTGATGACCGACAACGGCCTTCAATTTACCGACCAGAAATCAACGAGTTCCTAAACGGCCTGGGAATTCAGCACAAGGTCACATCGGTCGAACACCCGCAGACGAACGGTCAGGCCGAGTCGGCTAATAAAGTCATCTTAGCTGAGTTGAAGAAACTCCTTGGAGAAGCAAAGGGGTCATGGGCTGAGCAGTTACCCGAGGTGCACCTTCGAGTCAGTCCAACACACAACTTTTATAGCACCCATCTCGGTAGCCAACCTCATGCCGGCAAGCAAAGCTTCATATTCTGCTTGGTTATTAGAGGTCTTGAAGCCGAATCGCAACGATTGTTCAAGGGTAATTTCAGATGGGCTTTCCAAGATTATGCCGACACCACTTCCTTGTTGATTGGACGACCCATCCACATGCATAGTCCAAGCGGTATCTTCAAACTGGCCGAGTGGTGATAATTCATTAACGAACTCGGCTAAGCTTTGTGCTTTGATGGCCCCTCGAGGCTCGAAACGGATATCAAACTCAGAGAGCTCAACTGACCATGCCATCATTCGGCCAGCTAATTCTGGTTTTCGCAGTACTTTGGCAATCGGACAATCTGTTCGGACTACGACGGTGTGACTCTGAAAGTATTGACGGAGACGCCTAGCCGCATACATGAGTGCCAACACTACCTTCTCTAGCAGTTGGTATTGCCGTTTGGCATCTTGCAACACTCGGCTAATGAAGTATAGCGGTTGCTGTTGTCCATCATGTTCCCGTATCAAGCCGGCGCTTATGGCTTCGCCCAAAACCGCCAAGTACAAGATTAGTTCTTGGCCGGATGTTGGCTTGGTCAATACCGGGGGAGTGTCGAGGCATTTCTTGAAAAGTTGAAAAGATATCTCACATTCTTCTGTCCATTGAAATCTGTTTGCCTTTTTCAAAAGGCCAAGGATCGGCTTGGAAGTCTCGGCCATACATGGTAGGAAACAAGATAAAGCTGTTAGTCGACCAGCTAACTTTTGGACCTCTTTCAAGTTTGATGGACTCCTCATGTCGATGATAGCTTCGTATTTGTCCGGGTTAGCCTCGATGCCCCGACTTGACAACATGAAACCTAAAAACTTGCCGCCTGAGACGCCGAATACACACTTATCGGGATTGAGTCTCATCTGATGTTTCCGAATGGCCCGGAAGACTTCGGCGAGATCGGTTACATGGGCAAGTGTGTCGGCCGATTTGGCAACCAAATCATCCACGTAAACTTCCATATTTCTCCCGATTTGATTGCCGAAGATCTTGTCCATGAGCCTTTGATATGTGGCCTCAACATTCTTCAGGCTGAATGGCATTACTTGGTAGCAGTAATTGGCAGATTCTGTAACAAATGCCGTTTTGTCCTTGTCTCGGGGGTACATTCAAATTTGATTGTAGCCCAAGTATGCATCGAGGAATGTTAGGAACTTATGACCAGCCGCACCATCCACCAATCGGTCTATGTTTGGCAACGGATAAGCATCCTTGGGGCAGGCTTTGTTCAAATCTGTGTAATCAGTACACATTCGCCATTTGCCATTCGACTTCTTGACCATGACAATGTTGGCCAGGCATGTTGTGTATTGGATTTCTCGAATGAAACCTACTTCAAGGAGCTTAGACGTTTCAGCTTCAACCGCCTTTTTCCTTTCTTCCCCCATTTTTCTTTTACGTTGGGCGACCGGTTTGGCCTCCCCGCACACTGAGAGTCGATGGCATAAGAAGTTAGGGTCAATCCCGGGCATGTCGGCCGGCCTCCAAGCAAAGAGGTCTTTGTTTTTCTTTACCATATTTTAGATTTCACGCCTTTCGGTCTCGGACAGGTTGGAACCTAGGTAGGTGACATGCTGGTTGGTCGGCCCGATAATCAGTGGGTACTGATCTTCAATCGGCTCGACCCTCTCATCTTGATCCATTCGAGGGTCAAAGTCTACAACCGTTTCGAGGTCTTGGGCTACCGAATGCACGCGTTTCTCTCGACTCGGCTCGGTTGCTCCGAGGTGGGGCAACTGGAGACTAGCGAAATAACATTCCCTGGCCGCTTTCTGATCTGCATGTACTGTGATGATTCAGCCTGGTACAGAAGGAAATTTCATGGCTAAGTGCGGGGTTGACACAATCGCACCTAACCTGTTGAGGGACGGTCTTCCAAGAAGAATGCTATATGACGTGTTAGCATGCACAAACCACGTACTTGATCGGGATGTCTTTGACTTTGGGTCCATCGGAACAAAAACGAGTGGATAACTTGATGTATCCTTTCGTTTGTACACGCTCACCAGAAAATCCAACCAGCGGCTCATTGTATGGGATCAGTTTGGCTTCCGGGATGCCGAGTTGCTTGAAGGTATTCCAGTAGAGGATATCGGCCGAACTTCCTTGATCGACCAATGTCTTCCGAACGATGCAGTTGTGGATCTCCACGCTGATGACCATGGGATCGTCCTGATCAGGATCGATGCCCTTGAAATCAGCCTCAGTGAATGTGATGGCCGGCAACCTCTGCCGGGTGCACTCAACTGCATGGACAGTTCAGACAGCTCGTAGATGTCTCTTCTGTGCTGAGGAGGTGGATCCTCCGCCCGCAAATCCACCGGTAATAGTATTGATGACCCTTCGGGGTTGAGTTGTGGGCTCGGCTTCTCTTCGGTCTCTCGACCGGCTTCGTTCCTTGTGAGGGTGCCTATCGGATCTCTCTCGGCCATGTTGTTCCCCACGATGCCGGTGATCATCGCGTCTGGGAGAGCGGGGCCGATCGACAAAACGTTGAAGCTGCCCTTGCTTGATTAAGTCCTCGATTTTATCTTTAAGAGCCGCACAATCCTCAGTTGAGTGACCTCGGTTTCGGTGATATTTGCAGGACTTGGTTGCGTCGACGCGTGGAGGGGTTGACGCTCATTTTGGTACTACCAAAACCTCTGAAGCAAGTGCCTGATCTAGGACAGCAGATCGGCTGGCGTTCAATAGGGTGTAATGAGAATACCTTGGTCCTCGTGCGGGTTTTTCGCGGGAAATTTCTTTAGGACGGCTCCGATAGTTGCTCTCGGCTGGCTTATCGGCTTTGGCGGCTATCTCTGCCCGTGCTTGATTACGGAACTCAGCTAATTCCTCCATTTGCATATATTTGTCAGCGCGCCGACGCAAATCATTCATATCAGTTGGGGGTTTCTTACAGATGCTGTTGGCGAAAGGTCCCGGTTTCAAGGAGGTGGTAAGGTGGTGCAGAGCTACAGCAGGGTTGAGGTCTCGGATCTCCAAAGCCGCTTTATTAAATCGGCTCATGAAGGTCCGAAGGGATTCTTTCTTTTCTTGTCTTATGCTTACCAATGAGAGCGAGGTCAGCTGATGAGGCCTGCTGGTGGCAAACTGAATGGTGAATTGAGATGCTAATGTATTGAAGGAGTCGACTGAGTTGGCCGGAAGTCGTGTGAACCAACTTAATGCCCGACCCTTTAACGAAGTTGGGAAGATTCGGCACAAGGCAGCATCGTCAGTAGTACTGAGGGTGAACTGAGTCAAGAAGATGTCGACATGCTCGTCTGGGTCGGTGGAACCATCATACTTATCGAGTGGCAATGACTTCCAATGGTCAAGGAGTGCCATCTGCATAACACTTGGAGTAAAGGGATGCCGATGTGCTCCGGCCGGCAATGGTTGTATCGGTCGGTTGCCCGAAGCATGGGCAGCTGGAGCAGCAACAGAAGTGTGGGGGATGGAGGTGTGATGGCCGTGCGAGTGGAACGACCCCTGAGTGTGGGTCGTCTCAGATGGTTTCCATGTGGGGTCTCGGTACTGGTTTTTCAGAGCAGCATTCTCTTCTCTCAATGCGGCCATCTCAGCGACATCTCTCTCTCGCTGCTGTTTCATGGCGATCATTTCTTCCTTCATCTGGCGTACCATATCGGTCAAGTTTGTCTCCTCAACCGTCTCGGCCCCGGACTGGTGCTCCTCTTCGGACTGTTGCCCTTCAAAATTAGTATTCCTTGTCTTTACCATGATTCTTTTCCTCGTAGACTTTCGATGTTTCTGCAATGCTTTCGGTTCGGCCCCACGGTGGGCGCCAAGATGTACTTGCCTGAGGGTACACTCATAGTCTTCAGGGGTGTAGGAGGGCCAAACGAGAGCTTTAGGTGGATTCTTCGGAGGGGGGAGGTACCTGCAAAAGGCACTCCAACGCTCAAGTCAGGATATGCACGATTTTCTAGGGTAATAAATGAACAGTGACATACATCGTTATGTGTGACCTATTTATAATACCTAACATGGGCCTGAGCATGGTGGGCCTTCTCTGACATTTACCAAATTAGGTAATACGATGTTAATCGGTTGATTATGTCTTAATCATGTACTTATCCTTACTAATCATAATCGTCGTTCTAATTCTTCGATGTTGACTTTTGGCCGAGCCGAGACAACACGGCCGAAACGTCCTCTCTCGGCTTCTGGCCGAGCCGATAGGGGAAGAGCACAGTTCTTAGTCCCCTGTCGGACCGAAGTGGTATTCGAGCAGTATCATCTGATAGTATATGGCATGCCGGTCCACGTGGCCGAACCGAGATGTTACCTGAGCTGCGTCAATATCTGATAGGACATGACGTGCCGGTCTACGTGGCCGATCCACGTGGCCATAGGATCCTTCCGGTACAGTTAATTTCTTTTATAATATTATCTATTTGTTTTAACGTGATTTAACACACAGAATGATAGTAATAAGAAAATTTAAAAAATTATAAATATAATAATTAAAAAGATTATCTTAAATTTTATGACAAAAAATGATTGAAAAGATAAGTATAGAATTGAAAATGTATGTTTTAAAGTATAAAAACTAAAATAAAAGGTAAACTCTCTAAAACTATACAAACTAAAAAAGTATATTTACGTTTAATTTTGAATTGTATTAAAACTTAATTTACTGTTCTACCATTTTCTAGCATTGCATTGCCGGTTATATAGATATATCAGCTAGAATTTTCAGTTTTGATAAACACTTGCCGTCACAAATTGCAATTTTATGCTTTAAACATGTGATTAAATAGTTATTTGTCTTCCTTAGGTTGAGGATAAAGGGGGGTTTGTGAAGAATCTTTTCCATTTTGCATACCAGCGGCGATTGGCTGCTGTGAAAGGAAGCTGGTTTGGAGCTTGGGGATTGGAGAAGTTTGTTTGGGATACAATTGTCTTTAGAAAAATTCGTGCTGCAATTGGAGGCCACCTACGTTATATGCTTTGTGGAGCAGCCCCTTTATCTATAGAATCACAACACTTTATCAATATCTGCATGGGGTAACGATTCCTATCTTTATACTACATATTCTTCAAATTAACTTGTCATTTGTATATATGCATGTGTGTTCACATACAGATACGCATAGTTTGTATATTAGATTTATTGTAATGTTGAATTTCTTCCTAATAGTAAGTCTAAGATAAAACAATAATGGAAACCTTATTTACATGAACTACTCGGTACTTGGTTAACTTAGTGATGTAGGGTTAGGATAATATCAACTATTAATAATATCATGTTGTCGTCATTACTTTTTTAGTGGTGAAAGATTAAGATAGTATAAATTATTAATAATATTATGTTGTTGCCATTACTTTTCAACTAGATTCAGGTATATTAATCTAGTTTCATTGCTCCTCCCATCTTTATTCATGACTCCAAATATTAAATAACCAAAACAAATATGGATAGCTTGAGAATGTGATGATGTGTCACTTCTAAGTAGAAGATAAGTAAGAGATAAAAACTTGCTAAAAGGAGAAATTCCTTCATAAAAGTTTTTAAGGAAAAAGTCCTCCAAGGAGAGAATAAGACTTGGAAAAGAGACTTTGAAATATCTCATTCTCATTTACATTTAAAGTGATGAAAATATGGGTTGAATACATGTATGTATAAAGTTTGGTAGCTTATGGTGCAAGTTAAACTAACCAAAGTTAGGTTAACCATACTCAAGTCAATCAACTCTAGTTGAAATTCAAATTTGAATTTCTCTCATAAAAGCGTCAACATCTTAGATCCAAAAGAACAAATAAGAGTTTGCCACATGACAAGATACAAAATATGTGATGGGGTGTGTTAGTAAAATAAAAGGTATAGAAGCAAGCATGTCAAAAGTGTGACTAATGCGTGAAACATGTGACTTGGTGAGTGATGTGTGAATCAATGAGAGAGTGCATGGGGCCATAATATTTTATCCACCATTATGGAGATATGACTCTCCACTCTCTCATTGCCAAACAAACTCAATTAACACATATGCCATATACTAGTTGCAACCCCTAAAGTACTAAATACACCCCTAAAAAGAAAATTACAAGTAAATAAATTCCTATACATGGTCAAAATTAAGAAAATGTTTACAATAAAAAATATATACAAGAAAGAGAAAGTAAACAACCATAAATGATCAAAAGCTCAACATGACCTTGGGTCTTAATTTTTCCTTCAAGTCTAACTCACTTTTCTTGGCTCTTTTTAGATTAACCCTTGGGCATGATGTCATCATCCCTTCCCCCTTCAAAAGGATCTGTCCTCAAATCTTGAGCACCTTTTTTTTCTTTCTTGATACATGCAAAAGAAAACATTTTACAAGTATTAGAAATATTATTTCTTTGAAAAGCAAAGGGCTCTAACCTATGTATACTCTTTATATAGGAAATGGGTTTATCCTTAAGAATTTTTATTTTCTTGGGGTCCTTTTGATGGCAACCCTCCTTGTATGGATTGAGTTAGGAACATCAAAGAGGGAAGACCAGACTCCTTGGATCATGGAACTCAAGGTTTCTAGCCTTGGCGATGGAGATGGGGGAATGGTGTTTATGGAGGCTAGGTGTTTGATGAAATGCTAAGGTGTTTGATGAAATGCTAAGGTGGTACTCTAGGGTTTTGGCTCACTTTATTGATGGATGAATGTCACTCTTAAAGGTGAGAACACTCACGGTGAAGATGAGAAGGATAGTTGGCCGAAATGACCAAGGGGACTAAGGAAAGAATATTAAGGCTCAAAGGCTCTCTTAATATCATAAATTCCAAAGTGATTACAAGTTGCATAGCCTAGGGCATTTATAGAAGGGAGGGAGCATTTAGGGTTGCATTTGAGAGTGTATGGCCGAAAATGCAATGCCAAATGCACTTCAAATGAAACTTAAATTAACTCTAGATGCTACTTGGTGGCCAAGGATGGAATCTTTGGGTTTGACTAAGCTACAACTAGGTGCATGATAAGATCATGCAACCTAGGTGCCCTCCACTTGAGCCTAAGCCTTGCCAAGTCCAAAAACAAATCCAATGTCACCAAAAAAATACGTCTAGGCCTATTTTCTAACCCTATAAAATACCCTAGCTATAAAATAAAATCCTATAATCTAAGGCACCCCAAAATACAAGGTAAAATGGGAAATACAAGTAAAATAAATCATATGTCTAAGACACCTAAAATGCAAGGTTAAAATAGGAAATTAAAGACAAGGGCAAAATAGGAATAAAAAAATAAATTCTATGCTAATAAAAACTTAGGAGCTACGACTCAAAAGTAGGTCACTCCTCCTATGGTTTTCAAAAATAACTCATTCCTTTTGTCTCTTTCAATATATCATCTCTTGGTCTTTTTGACCTTAGTGTTATTCCATCACCTTTTGAACCTCTTTTATTGTATCTAAACTTAATCTATATTTTTCTATTTTCTTTAGAGGTTTTTCACTAACATCAAAAAAATACTTGTCTTGGATGTCCTAGCTATGTGATCACCTAGACTCCTAAAAGTTAAACTATCTACAACTAAATTTTCCTGCTTCCAAAAGAATGAAGTGACTTAGGGTCACTATGACTAAGAAACTTCTTAGGAACAAAGTATTGTCCCCTAGATTGGAAGACTAGGAAAAAAACATTGAACTCTTGGTTATGGGTGGGGTAGTTGAGAGTGATAACATCAGGAGTTGTTTCCAAAAAAGAAATAGGGTGTCCATCCTTCAACAAAAAACCATCACACTTAATCCAAATGAAAAATATTTTAGCTTAAAATTTGTAGAATTTTTATGAAGAGTTAGAACATGTGCATTGGAGAGCTCACTTTTAGAGGGTTGAAATCCTTGCTTTACCTTCTTTTCCCTAAAGGTAGGAAAATTGTTCTTCACTAACTCATGGAGTGATGGAACAAAAGATTGTTTAAGATAATGAGTCCTTTTTATTTCACCTTTTTAAAGAAAAATGACTTTATTTCTTAACAATCTTTTGAGAAGAGACATTTTCCTCCTTTTCACTCCTCTCATCCTCTAGAAGTTGGTTTTGTTTTTATTTTATTTTCTCATTTTCTTTTTCCCTCATAAGTTTCATTTGCGTTTGATCCTCTACCACTTGATTAGGTGTAAGAGGATATAACAAAAGTTTCTTATCTTTATGGGTGAGGGATATTTATTAGTAAGGCCATTATGCACGAATTTTCTATCAAGTTGTCAACAATCTTCCTAACAAAATATGACAAGCTTCAATGGGAACTACATCACATAAGACTGTATCTTTATAATTCCTAATAGAAAGCTTAACCTTTACTTGTTGATTTACTACCATATTCTCTTTATTATTAAGTCATTGAAGTTTATAAGTTTTTGGATGAAGAAGAATAGCGAGGGCTAACTTAGCAACCACCTTGTGCTACAATAGTTATAACTTGATCCATTATCCATAATGAGAGAATAAGTTTGTTTTAAAATTTTATATCTTGTATAAAAGATCTTCTCTTTTTATGAATCATTTAATTCACAAGATTGGCTTCCAATAAGCCTTCTAATTAATAAGAGATCACCATCAAAGATAAACATTCTCTACCTTAGATGGTACCCCTTTTTCTTCTTCACTTCCACTAAAGGTGGAGGAAAAAGATTTAGTCTTCTCTTGACTACTGTAGTGTTTTAGGCCCCCCATGATCATGGTCTTTTTTGATGGGGCATTGAGAGACAATGTAGCATTTTCCTAGACACTTAAAACACTAAATACTACTAGCCCTAGAACTAATGTTAGGGGTTTCCTTATCTTAGTAGAGTTTTCTTTTCTCATTCTTTTCTTTTGATAGCTCACTATTGGAGCAACTCTTATAAGAATACTTTTCTTCTCTATGGTCATTCCTATGATGTGAAGATGATGATGAGGAATCCTTTTTATATGATGTTTTCCTTAACAATTGTTCCTCTATCTTTATGAATAATTATACCAAGTCATCAATGTCTTTATTGTTGATCAAGCTCAAGATGAAGATATGATCTTAGTTAGTTTTGACGATAAAAAATGAGCCTTTTGAGAGATAAAAGTGCAACTTGTACTTTACTTTTTGTTTCGAGCCTTTTGGTGAATAATAATGCAAGTTGTAACTTGTCTTGTGTGATTTTAAGCTTTATTGCTTGTGTACTTTGTGCTTGGTAAGTAACTTAGCATTATCTCTATCTAGATGATGATTAATGACTTAGATAAATGTTAAGATTGATTTATAAAGAGAAATGGTATAAAAAAATCGATATATTAAGTTTTCACTTAAGATAATTGATTATTTTAAGTAATAATTGATTATTTGCTTTGTTTTTTAGTTTCATGAAGAACAATTGTTGTAATAATCAATTATTCATCAAAATAATCAATTATTTTAGAAATAGGTTTCTAGCATAATTAATTATTGCTCAAAATAATCAATTAAATTTTTCTTGGTTGATTTTCAGAATTGCTAAGAACAAAATAATCAATTATCCATGTAAGTAATCAGTTATTTCAGTTAGAAAACTTATATATATCATTATTCACACCTTGGACAAAGGACTTAGAACTTTTGAATCTTTATGATATCATTTTACAAAAAACACTCTCTGTAACATATTTCTTTCAACAAGAGAGGGTTTTTTGACCTTTGTGGTAACTTCAAAAAAGTTTCAAAAATTGAGTTGATCATCATCTTCATAGGGTACAAGGCTAAGTTACATGGTTGATTCAACTTTTCTAATCTTTTTAGTTAATAAGGTGAATTCGTTCCATTAATTCTTTATTTTTGTAGTTATTTTATTTAAGTTTCTTAAGAGGAGAGAATCTTGTACTAGGGTGCTATAAGTAGGTGCTTCTTGGGGTTCAAGAAGTAGTTTCTTTAATAGTGTAGAAGTGTATTGTAAAGTAGATATATATATATATATATATATATATATATATATATATATATCATTTTTACACCTTGGGTAGAGAAAAATTTTAAAACTTTTGAATCTTTGTGATATCATTTTACGAAAATACTCTTTGTAACACA